TAAGCCAGGAGAAAGGAAAGCAGCAGCTGCTGAAAGGATCAAAAGATGCTAAACTTGATGGGGATGAAATGCCTGGTAGGAGCCAACAGCAAGTGCTCCTTGATTCCCACTCAGGCACCTTTTCCCCAGGACTCTGATGGAAGTGGAGCTCACACCTGCAGCCAGGCTGGAACTGGCTGGGGAGCTGTTTGAAGTGGCACAAGGCTTTATTTCAAAGGAAGAGGCTGAAAAGCCTCCCTGGAGCTGTGGAGCAGCACAGGGAAGTGCTGGAGAGCCTGGAAGGAGAGCAGCCAGGGGAGGAATTATGCCAGGCCACGAGAAGGCTGAGAAGGAGTCAGGCATGTCTCACACTGACGTCTGCTACAGCACAGAGCCTACAACCACCTCCTTGCAATAAAAAGAAACCCAGAGAATTCACTACTTCTTCTTACATTAAAATCACTCCCTCCTACATCCACATCATTGCTGTCAGAAACATCTTGATTTCCCACACCTAAGGGGCTATGGAAAAAAACAAGCATTTCTGCTAAAAATAAACTGTATTTATTCAGATCTATTTTCCTCTAAAATGCAGGATTCTTTTAATTTCAGTTTGATCACATCTCTCCATAACTGCAGCTCTGCCCAACAAACAAGTTGCAGTCGCTGGGGAGCAGCAGCAATGCAAAACAGAGATGCAAACTGGTTTCGTTTGCTGTAAAGATTTCCTCACAGAAGATCTAAACTTTTCACTGCAGTGTCCACATTTTGATCATGACAAAACCATCTCTTGTTCAAACCAATTTCATCTCAGCAATGTTAGTGCTCTGTGCAGCACGTGACAAACCCTCCCCAGCTCAGTCCCTGGGAGGTTGGACAATTATTAAGGGAAAAATTCTTTGTCATAGAATCCCAGACTGGTTTAGGTTGGAAGGACCTGAAAGATCACCCATTCCAGCCCTGCCATGGGCAAGGACACCTCCCACCAGCCCAGGCTGCTCCAAACCCCATCCAACCTGGCCTGGAACACTCCCAGGGATGGAGCAGCCACAGCTGCTCTGGGCAACCTGTGCCAGTGTTCCACAAACCTCACAGGGAGGAATTCCTTCCCAATATCCCATCTAACCCTCCTCTCAGTCAGTGTGAAGCCATTCCCTGTGTCCTGTCCCTCCAGACCCTTGCAAATAGTCTCTCTCCATCATTCCTGTAGCTCCAACAGGCACTGGAAGGCCACAGTTAGGATACCCCAAAGCTTCTCTTCTCCAGGCTGAAGAATCCCAATTCCCTCAGCCTTTCCTTCCAGCAGAGCTGCTCCATCACTCTGATCACCTTGGTGCCTCCTCTGGACTTGCTCCAATACACATATCTCAGTCAGACTCAGCACTGAGAGCACAGAAAGCACTTGCAGAGATCAGTAAGAGCCTGAGCCACCCCTCAGGGCAGAGTGTGAGGTGTGCTCAGACCATTCCCTGGTTCTGTTTGAGAATTTACTCTGCACTGAGAGTGTTTGTGTGCTGTGTGTGGGGATCAGTGGGTCACACCTTGGCCATGTCCCCAAGGGTCCCCTGGAGAGCAGCAGTGGAAGGGGAATGCAGACACAGCTGATTGCTGTGCCCAAACACCACGACAGAACTGACAGAGCAAGAGCTCACAGGGACCAGGGCTGGGAACAGATGATCTTCGAGGCCCCTTCAAACTCAAACCACTGTGATTCTATGAAGGTTTTGAAGAGCAATCAATTGGAAACTATCCCCAAGCTGTGTGGAACTGCTACACCAGAGATGTTGAGGGCAGCACTGCAGAGCTCCCATCAGGAGATCTGACAAAGTGAGGAACACCACTCTGCTCACCCATCAGCTCTGGGCACCTGAGAGACACAATTTTTGGCATAAGAGTCAGCAGTTCTGATCCTCTGAAGAGCCCAAGGAGTGCCCTCCAGGGATGAGCTGTTGGGGAGATCTCTGCCCTGCTCCTGCTTCCTTCCAAAGGCAGCTCTTGGGGGAGAACATGGTATAGTCATCAGCAGATTTATCACCAGGGACAAAAGACTGAGATGTATTTGAACAAGGGGGAGAAAAGAAAGGGGGGCTGGAGCCCAAGGATTAATTTTAGCAGCAGAAGCTGCAAGTTGCAGTCCCAGAGTGGAGGCTGCGATGCAGCTCCCCAGAGTTTGTAAAGACTCATTTAATTTCTATAGAAACTGAGCAGCAAACAGGTAATTTTCTCTGCAAATTGCTTCTCTCACCTCTGTAAAGCTCTGCAAGAGGAATGTATTTCCCTAGTGTCTGCTTAATCCCCTGCTATTTGCATTATAGATTTAATTAGGCTCTTTGGGGATGGTGCTGGGACAGGAGCTGAGCTCTGGGCTCCTGTGAGTGAGGACAGAGAGCTCTGTGGCAATGCCATTGATTTTTTTTCCTGTGGGAGTATTTCAAGGGAGACTAAGCCGTGGAGACATTTGCTAGATCAACAGAGAGAGAGTTTAGGGAGAGAACTGCACAGAAAGGGTTGAGTATCCAAAGGATTCCTTGCAGCCAGGCCTCTCCTCCCTGGACACAGCTCACAGCTGCCACAGAGCAGGAGACCTCAGAGCAGGGAAATCAGGGGCCTAAAGCAGCTCCAGGAGCAGAGATTCCAGAAGAACATCCTACCCTGTGTTGTGAACTGGCCCTTAAGGGTCCTGCCTGGGTTAGAGCAGAGCCAAACACCTTTTCCTTGGAAGAGTTTCCTTGCTGTGCCAGCTCTCACTCCAGGCTCAGGAGGGAGGACCCTGAGCATCCCCTTGGTTTACCTCCTGGCTGGTTCCCCACACCACCTGGCTGCACACAGGGCACTGGAGCAGCTCTGGGTGTCAGGACTGGCCCATAGAGCTGGGCAGGGAATTGTTAGGATGGCTAAACCCAGACTGGGCTCCCAGTGGGACCCTCCCCCAGCCCCTGGAGGCTGCAGATGCTCTCACATCAGCCTGAACCATGGAAAACAACTCACCTGAGTCACCTGAAATAATTCAGCTCAAACCTGAACAATCTTTCCCTCACACAAAGTGTCCTGTGGGCAGTGAAAACTGGGGAAGGAAAGGAAGTAAAGTGAGGGGGTGTTAGCACAGGGGATGGAAGGTTCAGTCCACACGAGTTGATGAGCACAAGCCACAGGTGTTTTGCATTTCCATCACCTCCAGCCCCACCCTGAGCTCCCCCAGCCCCTTGCAAACTTGGATCACAAGCAAGACACAGCAGGAACAAGTAGGAAAATACTGTTTCAACTCTCCAGAATTCTCTGAATAAAGCAAGCTTTTTTTTTTGTTGTTGTTTTCAAGGATAAAAAGGTCCATTTTTATGCTCCCCACAAAACCAAATGTCCCCAGCATTTCACTCCACAACCTGCTCAGCTGCTCCTTTCACCAGTGGTAAATGTTACAAGTACAACACATTTTAAACAGTCTCTGAAAAGTTCTGCTTGGAGAAAATCAGAGTTTAAACACATTCTATGTTCCTGGTTTCAGTTACTGTAAACTTTCAGATGAAACAGCATGTGATGACAATAACCTCTCAGAGCTGAGGGTTGTGTTTCCATCACAGCCTCCCCCAGCTGAGGCACTGCCAGTCTCACCCTGGGCACACAGCACATCGTGGCAGGACTGGCAGAGCTGCACAGAAATGGCACTCACTGTGCAAAGCAACCCAAGCCACAACGACTTTGCTTTTCAAACAAACAATCACAAGCCCCAGAACATCTTCCTGAGGGAGATCAGGAATCATTTCCCAGCAGAGACACAACTTCAATCTCAACCTGAAAACAGCCCAATCTCTGGTGTGTGCCCTGGTGCTTCCCCTCTGAACCCACCCCCCAAACAGCACCAGACACACAAACATGCTGCATTTCTCCCAGAGCCTGTCCTGCCCGTGCCCAGAGGCTGCAGAAACCTACCTTGAGCAGAGGAGATTGCAGCCAGGAGCTCCAGAAAATCTCCAGCTCCCCAAAGAGCACGACCAGGCTCTTGGAGACCTTTTGAGCTCCAGCTCCAGCTGCTGGTGATAGTTCCCATCTGTCCCCACTCAGACTAAATGCCCTCTAAATTACACCCAGATGCTCAGTGCTCCCAGGAGAAACAAAGGCTAAACCAATTTGGGGGAGCCTGAGTTTGGTACTGCTTTTTCTGGTAGGGACTCTTTCATTTGGGGTCTCAGTCAGCAGTGGCCTCATGGCAGGGAAGAGGAGTCAGAACTGCACCCACTGTTTGGTTCCTCCTCAGAACCTCTGGCCCTGAGCCTCAGTGTTTACACCTGGAGTGTGGAGGTGGCCAATAAGAGTCTGAAACCTTAGGGAAAAAAGCTTTTGGCTCTTTTCTCCTGTAGGGATGGAGTGGATTGCTCTCTGTTAAACCCACTGAAGGACTCTGCTAGGCATTTTTCTTCCTTCCTTGTTTTATTTGATTCTTGTTACAAAAAGGAGATGTCAGGAAATCTGACACATTGCTGCACCATATGCTCCGTGTCTATTTGCAGCAGCAGGTGAGAAGCTCATGATTCAATTCCCACCTGTGCCAAGGCCATTTTACACCAATTTTCTCTGTAGGAAAACACAGAGTCAAAGCAATAAAATCCCTGGAAGACACTTCTATATGCTGTGCACAGCCTCAGCATTGCCCATGTGAACAGGAAGAATACACAACAATTCCCATCCCTGCACACACATCTATTCCCATCCCTGTGTACAAACATCCACTTTCTTCCCTGTACACACATTCTTTTCCATCCCTGCACAGCATTAGACAGGGAAGCATTGCCTCAAGCTTTGCATCACCAAGCTGAAATGTTCTACAAGCTTGGTCAGACCCCGGAAAATAACTTGTCAGCTTCCTGCTGCAGCTTCATTTCCTTTACTCTGGGACTGTTCATGCTTAGAAACTTCCATTACAAAAGCAAAGTGCTTCCCTGCAATCACCAAGTGACAGAACAAGGTGCTTTAAGCACCACACCCGATGTGGAAAACTCAAGTGATACATGGCAGAGTCACTGAATTTACAAATCTGTCCGTCCTGGAACAAACCTGGGCCTGGAAATCTTTGCATCATTCACCAGAGTCCTGTTCCCTGATTTACTCATCAGCAAGTCCTTGCCTTGGAGCAGGGTAATGATGTTTTCTCTCTGGTGCCTAATTGCCAACTGCAGAGCTGTGCAGCCAGTGACATCTTCCACGTCGAGCAGAGCCCCAGCCTTGATCAGGGTCTTGATGATGGCCATGTTACCCTTGAGGACAGCCAGGTGCAAGGGTGTCCAGCCCACCTTGTTCCTGGCATTAACGTCCGCCTTGCACTCCAGCAGGTTGATGACAGTGAGGAAGGAGCCTCTGAGGACTGCAAAGTGCAGGGGAGCCCACTCGGACTTCTCAGCCAGGTTGGGGTCTGCCCCACACCTGAGGAGCTCGCAGACCACGGGCTCATCGCTGTAGCGCGTGGCCAAGTGCAGGGGAGTCCAGTCCATGCTGCCCTTGGTGTTCAGCTTGGCGTGGCTGTCCTTCAGCAGGTGGATGATCTCGATGTGCCCCTTGAAAGAGGCCAAGTGCAGGGCAGTCCAACCCTTGTCCGTCCTCAGCTCCACGTTGGCTCCATACTTGATGAGCTTCTCGCAGATGAGGTACTTGCCCCTGACCACGGCCAGGTGCAGGGCACTGTAGTGGTTCTGGTCCAGGCTGTTGACAGAGGTGCCATTCTTCAGCAAGTAATGGACAACCCTGAACTTGCCCCTCTCCACAGCCACGTGCAGGGGGGTCCTGTGGTTCTTCTGCTTTCTCTCCAGGTCAGCTCCTTGGCTGGCCAGCAGCTTCACCAAGCCGACGTGCCCGAAGCACGCAGCCACGTGCAGGGCGGTTTTCCCATCCACCTCCTGCGTGTTGGAGTCAGCCTGGCGGGACAGCAGCACTCGGGCCACGTTCTCAAAGTTGTTCTGTGCTGCCAAGTGCAGAGGAGTCCACCCATCCTGCTCTTGGGCGTTCACTCGTGCCTGGTGGTCCAGCAGGAGCCGCACGATCCTGTCGTCCCCGTTCTGAGCGGCGAAGTGAAGAGGTGTCCAACCATCCTCATCGGGCATGTTGATGTTGGCACCGTGCTCCACCAGGATGGAGCAGATCTCTGGCAGCCTCTTCTGGACAGCCATGATGAGTGGGGTGTAGCCACAGCCCACTTGGCTGTTCACGTTGGCTTTACAGCTCAGGAGGAACTTCACCTTCTCCACGTTGCCCTGGATCACCATGAGGTGAAGCAAGGTCAGGCCATTCTCATGGACTCTGCAGATCTCCTCGGACAGGATGTCCTCTGCACTTTCAGCCTCGCCGTAAGCAGGTGGGATATGAACCTCCTGATGATGCATTTCTAAGGGCAGGGAAGGAAAATAGGAGACGGAGATTGAACCAAGTGCAACAGCTTGGTGTGCCCAAGAAGGGAGGGAGAGAATGGGAATGTTCACGGTATGGAACGGAGCAAAGCCACTTTAGAGACAGGGAAGATGAGATAAGGCCAGACATGCAGTCTCAGGAAGCAGTGGCACATTTCACCTCTCCCTCGTGGGAATTGCATCTGCTCTTTCCTGTATAGTTCATTTTCCTTCACTGAACATGTCACCCCACTGAAAGCTTCATGAGCCACATCCTCCTGCACAAACACACAGCCTGTGTAGGCTTCCCCTGCTTTACTTTTCAGACATAAAGAAAGTTCCCTACTTACCAGCACTCCTGGTGTCTCGAGGGAAGGTGAACTCCTCTTTGTCACTCTCATTTGCAGGAAGGGGAAAAGAAAGAGCAGTAAGACAAAGAGCTGATTTGCATTCTGTAATGTTCACACCTACTTCTGCTTGGAGCGTCATATTATCACTTGAGTATTGTTTAGCCAGTGCTGCTACTGCACCCAAAGCTCAGCTGAGCAAATCAGGACACAACAGGGAGCCAGCAGAGCCCCACGGTTCTGTGTCTGCTTCAGCTCCTCTTCCTGACTGAAGCCAACATGATAAACCCCCTTCATCTGAGCAGGTCCAAGAAGGCTCTTCCTCCCATACTGTCTATCCCTTGGCACACTGGACAGTTTGTAGATTTATCTGCAAGTTTCTCAGCCCCATAAATGAGTTACAGAGACACAACCTGTGCAAACACACTGAGCTAAGGTGCTGGAGTGCCCCTGATGAGAGAGGAGACAGGTTCTCCAGGGCTGGTAAGAAGAGGGAGAGCACTCAGTGGAATTTCCTGGGTGGCACTGGGAGGTTGTCCTCACCTGCTGCCTGCCAGAGATGGCAGGTTTGTGGGACATCTTCCTGACCAGGCGCTCGTTCTCCGGGTCCACCACCAGGCTCTGGATCAGTGCCAGCAGCATATCTGTTTCCACAGGGATATCTGCCAGAGAAACACTGTGAGCTGCACAGAACCCAGCCAGAATCCAAGGCTCTGCACCAATTCCTCGTGTCCTCCACACAGCAAGGGAGGGTAAAGGGAGCAAGAGGATGTGTGACAGCAAATGGAACCAAGCAGTTCAACCTCGGAGATGGATACAGACCAGCTCAGCCCTCTTTGTTAGCCCCTTGGCTAAGCCATAGCACAGTCCCACCTGTAAAGCTTGGCCTCTGCTTAGGGTCTTGGTCCCAACACCTCTTCATCAAGTCGACCATCTGCTGGCACTCCCCGGGCCAGTCGTTCCGGATGAGCTCCAGCCCAGGTCTCTTCCCTGCTGCCACCTTGACTATGATGGCCATCATGTTTGCCCCTGGAACACAGCAGCATCACAGCTTTCCCTCTGGGCAGGCAGCTGGGATAGCCATTTCCTCAGTGCAGAGCGTGGAAGAAGTGCTGGTATTTACCTGCATAAGGTTTTTTCTGCATCAGCACCTCCCAAATGACGATTCCGAAGCTGCAGGCAAGGAGAGATCATCAGCAACAACCCCGTGTGGGCAAGGACATGAAATGCACTCAGTGCTTTTGTCTTGGCAAATAAGTTCTTCAGGGTGGAAGGATTTCATCCCTTAGACCAAAAGGAGAAATGTCTTGCGGTTCTATCTCATACATCGCTGATGGCTGAGGGAAAGGGTCAGTGCAGGGAGTGACTTGGAGCCTTTCCTGGGCAAGTCAGGCTGTCCCTGCTTCTGTTCACTTCCCTCACACAGGGGGTTAGAGCCCCTGACTATTGCAACTTCACATGGCCATGCAAATCCTCCTCTGCTGCTTGTCTTGGCTCACTGTGTGCTGCAGGGCCAAGGAATTCCCTGACATGGCTATGGAGCTGGTGGAACTGCTGCAAAGCACTTTGCCCTGAAGGAAATAAAGTTGAAACATCTTCCCTACCTGTTACTGCCCAAAATGAAGCAGAACACCAGAGCAGCCAAGCAATATTACAGTTGTTTGCCAAGCCAAATGAATGTAAGTGGTGAGTGCTGGGAAGGAGCAGACACTGTCTGCTCTGGGCTCTGATCTTACTCATTTTTATAACAACTTCAGCACCCAAACAGGCTGTGATGGCACCTGAGGCAACACAGGCTGCATGGTAAGGGCTGAAGATCAGGGTACTCATCACCCACAGTCTGTTCCCCACCAAGGACATTAAACAAGGCAGAAAACCAGACTGTAACCCAAGTGAGACAATGCAGAGTCTCTTCTGCTGTGTGGAAGAGCTCGATGACAACCCTGTGTGAGCTCTGAACTGCAGGGCAGCCCTTACCTGTACACATCATACTTGATTCCTGGGGGTTTGCTGTTCTGGAGGAACATTTCTGGGGGGATGTAGCTCAAAGTGCCTCTCAGGGCAGAGCTCTCAATGTATTGCATCCTGCTGGATTGCTCCATCCACTTGGATAGCCCAAAGTCTGAGATCTGCAAGCAGAAAAAATGACATCCTGCACCTCCCACTCCCCTGCTCACATCTCACCCTTTCTGCTGCTAGCTGGGACATCCCCATCAGCCAAGCAATATTACAGAGGACAGGACAGGGACATGAGGACAGGATCAGAGGAGGTGCCCAGCAGCTGGGACTTGGTAGAATCCACTCAGCTGTCACTGTGTCCAGCACATCAGTGTTTCCTTCCAAGCTGGAGCCTTCAATTCCCAGTCCTGGCACAGATTCTCTCTATGATCTTGAGATTATCATGTCATTTGTTTACCATTTGCTTTTTATAATCCCCACTGGTCAACCCTTCATGGAGTGTTCCTGAAGAACCTGATTTACTGGGATTCTGGACCCATTTGGCAGCACTAACCTGTCTCTTGCTCATGTTTGTCCCTACAGACACAGCAGTGAGGTCCTACCTTGACATGCATGTTCCCATCCAGGAGGATGTTCCCTGGCTTCAGGTCCAGGTGCAGCAGAGGAGGTGTCATGCTGTGCAGGAAGTTCATAGCCAGGCCCATCTCATGGATCACTCGGAATTTGAGCTGCCATGACATCTTGTGAGTGGGAAGGATCTTCTCCAAAGAGCCTCTGGCCATGTATTCCATCACTATCCCCAAGGGGCTGTTGCAGACCCCATAGATAGTGACAATGTGCTGGAATTTGATTTTCTCCATCTTGGTTGCCTCTTCCATGAGGCAGTTCATGCTGGTCCTGGAAAGATAAGGATAGAGAATGGAAAACAAAGTGGAAGCAAGAAATTGTATAGTTGATTCTCAGGCTCAGTAACTCTGGAGTAGCTCAGTGACATCCCTGCATGACCTAAAAAGTTCACCCCAATTTATGCCTTGAATTGACTGAAGGAGTCACTGCCCATGGCAGGGGGGGAACTGGATGATCTTTAAGGTCCTTCCAAGCCAAGCCAGTCTGGGATTCCATGAAATGGAAATGGAAAAAGGATGGCAGGAGCAGGCACAGCACCACAGTGTCCCGAGGCCATGCCTTGGCCATACCTGTCCCTCCACCTCTGCCTGCAGCTCTCTGCCCTGAGCACAGTGAATGTGGTCCCAGAGGGAGTCTAGACACGTCTGCTCATCACTGCCAGGTCTGCCCAACCTGTT